CCCCCCCCGCCTCCTCCCCCACTTCCTGTTCGGCCTCCACTCTCAGGCAGGAGCTCAGAGCTGGAGCTGCTCTGATTGGTCCTCAGTCAGAGCGAGCAGCTCTCTGAGAGCAGCCGTTAGCTCCGTTAGCTGCTACGTTAGCTGCTACGTTAGCTGCTACGTTAGCATCCAGCTGTGTGCTAACGTCCAGGAGGAAAGACACGAGAATGACCTGAGAAATGACTGGAAAGAGCTCCGTTGATGTTCTTTTACAGACCGATAAACCCCCCCCCATTTCCTCTAGCTAGTACCTCTTCATTCAATCCCTCGGTTTGAAAAAAGTGTCATTTAAAGGTCTTGAAATGTAGTTGAACAATATCTGAATCAAAACTAAAAAAGTAGGGTGTAATTTGAGGCTGTCAGAGCTCTGATTGGTCCTCAGTCAGAGCGAGCAGCTCTCTGAAAGCAGACGTTATTTCCGTTAGCTGCTACGTTAGCAGCTACGTTAGCATCCAGCTGCGTGCTAACGTCCAGGAGGAAAGAGACCAGAATGACCGGAAAAATTACCTGAAAAAGCTCCGTTGATGTTCTTTTACAGTCCGATAAACCCCCCGAAAGCCCCAAAACAGCTAGTTCCTCTTGCTAGTACCTCTTCATTCAATAATTCGGTTTGAAAAAAAGTGTCATTTAAAGGTCTTGAAATGTAGTTGAACAATATCTGAATCAAAACGGAAAGGTTGGGTGTAATTTGAGGCTGTCAGAGCTCTGATTGGTCCTCAGTCAGTGAGCAACTCTCTGGAAGTAGGCGTTAGCTCCGTTAGCATCCGGGTGTGTGCTAACGTCCAGGAGGAAAGACACCAGAACGACATGGGTCAAAGGTAGTCTCAATCTGTCCATGTATATATATATATATCATTATTCATCATTCCGCTTAGCACCATAAAATCTTTTCCATTGTGGAACTAGTATCGGAGGTATTTTCTAAATCATTCTCGCTTAGTTTCCATCTTCTATTTTTTTCTATTGTTTCCATTCTTCACACCCAGGTGTTGAAATGTCAAAGTTTGTTTCCGCTAACTCTTGCCCCCGCATACTTCACATTTCACAAACCTGATACTTCCCACTAAAAACAAGCCTCAGACTGAGTGGAGTTACAGGCTGCCTAACCAGTTTGTCCCAGTCAGAATGTGGCCCGTCCACATTCTGACTGGAGGCCTGATGGAGGCCTGATGGAGGCCTGATGGAGGCCTGATGGAGGCCTGATAGAGGCCTGATTGAGGTCTGATGGAGGCCTGATGGAGGCCTGATTGAGGTCTGATGGAGGCCTGATGGAGGCCTGATGGAGGTCTGATGGAGGCCTGATGGAGGCCTGATGGAGGCCTGATTGAGGCCTGAGCCTGATTGAGACCTGATAGAGGCCTGCTGGAGGCCTGAGCCTGATGGAGGCCTGATGGGGGCCTGATGGAGGCCTGATAGAGGTCTGATGGAGGCCTGATGGATGCCCGATGGTGGCCTGATAGAGGTGTGATGGAGGCCTGATGGAGGCCTGATGGAGGCCTGATTGAGGCCTGATGGAGGCCTGCTGGAGGCCTGAGCCTGATTGAGGCCTGATTGAGGCCTGATGGAGGCCTGATGGAGGCCTAATGGAGGCCTAATGGAGGCCTGAGGCTGCTGGAGTTCTAACTGAGGCCTGATGGAGGCCTGATGGAGGCCTGATGGAGGCCTGATGGAGGCCTGATTGAGGCCTGATTGAGGCCTGATGGAGGCCTGATTGAGGCCTGATGGAGGCCTGATTGAGGCCTGATTGAGGCCTAATGGAGGCCAGAGATTGCTTGAGGTCTGATTGAGGCCTGATGGAGGCCTGAAGCTGATTGAGGCCTGATGGAGGCCTGATGGAGGCCTGATGGAGGCCTGATGGAGGCCTGATAAATCTTCTGGAGGCCTAAACCTGCTCCCTGTACTTCCAGGCCTACCTGTCCAGAGACGAGGCCCAGTCCACCATCGCCCGCATCCTGGCAGAGAAGGACGCCCTGAGGAGCCAGATGGTGGAGCTGCAGGAGTCGGCCTTCAGCCTGCGGGCCAGAGCCGGCCGCCCCCCCGGCCCCGAGGTGCGTTCAGGCCCGCTCAGACATCCGGGCTCTGCTCAGAGAGGCACAGAAATGCTGACCGCTCGTGTGTGTTTGGCTCCAGGAGAAGGAGACGTGGGACAGCCTGGGGTCTGGAGCCGAGAGGAGCCCGCCCCCCCGACGCAGGCTCTGCCGCATGGACGCGCTCAACCCGGTCTCCTTCACCCCCTGTACAGAGGTGAGGGGGGAGGGGGGGGGTATATCTCTACATTAATATATCTGATCCAAGCTATGGTCAGAATAATGAAGAATACATGCATTTTTCCTCCAAAATGAGGCTGCATTTCCTGGAATCAGCTCTGTTCCAGCATCCAGAAATGAAGGAAACTTTGTTCTGATGAGCTGAAACCAGCCGACTAAAATCTAGAACTCAGAGCTGTGGATCATTTTAGACTTCCAGCTTCAGAAAACAGTCACTTTGAGCTGGAGGAAAACAGCTGGGACTGTTTTCTGCCGTTAAAAAACCCTAAAATGCTTCAGATCAGCATCCTGATAAACTCAGACATGTAGCAGCCAGTGGTTTTCCATCCACCTGTGAGCTTTTCTCCTAAAAAATGGGATATAATTAAACGAAAATGAGGTCTACTGTGGCACAAATTACACAAACGAGTGTAAAATAAATCTGCATTCCCCCAATGCCGGTTAGGGCAGTTCGCTATGGACATAGGAACTTTCGACAAATAAATAAACAAATAAAAAAACAGGTGGATACATAAATAAATAAATCATAAATATATATTTTTTTTTTCACTGGTATATTACTGTATTATTGTGTTACCAAAATGACCCCAAATTGAGCATTATGCCTGTGGTCGCACATTTACCTTTACTTACCAAAATTTCTATTTATTTTTTGTGCATAAGTAAAATTAAAGGTAAAATTTACCATCTACTTAAATGCAAAGACACACATAAAACATTTTTTTTTTGCATACAGCTCTATAGATTCAGGCTTTAAGGGGATAAATGTATAGTTCAGCTTTAGGGAAAAAGACGCTTCCTCTAAATTGGTGAATTTGTTTTCGCTCCTTCTAAATTGGTGTATTTGTTTGAAACTTTATTTATGTATTTTTTTGTGCGGGCGTAGTGTGAGGACCCCTCGGCGAGCAGCGTCCGGTCCAGGAACGCCCAGCCGCCCAGCCCCGAGTCTCTACGCAGACGGGAGGAGGTCCTGTACGCGGACGGCAGGTGGGTCAAGTTTGTGGGGGCTTTTTTCAGCATTTAATCAACCTCAGGTAAAGGCCGAGTGGGACACGGATGATCCGGCCCAGTAAAAGGCTTTGACCACCCCCAAACCCAGACAGGATCACCCCTATAACCATGAGCGTGTGCAGGAAAATGGATAAAAATGGGGAATTATTGGTGTTTTGTCTCGTCTCCATGGTTGTCTTGTCATTTCCTGTTTTATTTTGAAAGGTACATCCCCTTGTTTCAGGCCTCGTGCTCTCCCCTGTGTGTCACATGTCTGCTTATCTTCCCTGATTGTGTTCACTTGGGGTTCCCTTCATGTGTTTAGATAGTCTGAGTCTCTCCTTGTCTGGTTCCAGTGGCTCTCTTTTGTCATACTGAGCTAATACCAAACCATAGTAATCCTTGCCTTTCGCCTTGAACCCTGTTTATTCCTCGTAAGAGTGATTTTGATTTGGTACTTTGTAACTTTTGATCCTCCTTTCAGAGTGAGTTTATTTTGTGTTTTTTGTTAATAGCTTTGTTTGCCTCGTTTTTGTACTTTTTCTCATCTTCCACTCCTTTACGAGTGCGCTTTTGGTTCTATTAAAACCTTTTTTGTCAAACATCTCTGTGCCTTGAGTTCCCGTTCCTGACAGTTTTCTTCTCTCACAGTTTGGAAACGGCGGAGAGCGATTCTCTGGACGACTTTGTGTTCCTGCCCGGTGGTACGTGTCAAAATAAGCTAATGTCTCCCCACCAGGACTGTAAGCAGCAGGTTTAGATGATTAACCTCTGGTTTTATCTGTGTTTTCTGGTCTAGTGGGGAGCGAGGACAAGCCGGCGTCCGGGTCTGAGCCCACCAGCGACTCCGGCTCAGACAGGTAAGCCTGAGGCTCCTCTCTTTGATCAGGAGAAATGGAGGAAATTCTACAGCCTAAGATCAATCAGAAACACCTGATTATGAACGGATTTAAGGGCAGAAAACCGACTTTTTCAAATATCTGGACTTCCAGGCTGTTTCTCTGCGTTTGGATCTGTGGAGCGTCCCATTCTGTTCAGACAGAATTCAGTAAAAGCAGCATTTTATGAAACCTAAATCTAATTTAAAAAGCAGGCTTGAGGCTGGAAACAGGAAGTCTGGATTTGTGTTTGTTAGGGACGGAAAAAACAGGAAACCAGGGAGCCTCGGAAAAACCTTCCATCATAAAAGCCCAACAGAAAACGACAACGGACAGATAAAAACCGTGAAACTAACCCAAAAACACAGAAGCTGAAAAGGGAACGCAAGAAAAAAAGAAAGAAGACGGATGGCAAAGAACAAAAAACTGAAGGAACCAGGAACACAAACCCCAAAACAAAGGAAGGAACCGAGGAAAACAAGAACCATCATCTCATCCAACCAAACTAGAATAACGAGAACAGCCCTAAAATGAAGATAACCACCATCCTGATCAAGATTTTGAGCTAAAAAATCATTTCCTTTGTGCTTTAAAATGTATTTTTCCTCTTCTTTTCCCCCCCCCCCCCCCCCGCCCGCTCAGGACCTCGGCCCCCCCCTTCCTGGTGCGCTCCCGGCCCAAAGCCATCCGGCTGAACGGGCGCGTGCTCAGCATCTCCTTCCAGGGCGAGGCGCTGCTCGGCCAGATGGCCGTCGTCGGGGGCAACAGGACGGGCGTGTTCGTGCACCGCGTGACGGAGGGCAGCGCCGCCCACAGCGTGGGCATCAGCGCCGGGGCGCAGATCGTGGAGGTAAGGAGCCGGGTCTGGGTATGGGTCTGGGTCCAGGTCTGTCTCTGTCTCTGTCTCTGTGTCTGTGTCTGTGTCTGTGTCTGTGTCTGGGTCTTTGTCTTTGTCTGGTACCGGGTCCAGGTCCGGGTCTTGGTCTGGGTCTGTGTCTGTGTCTGTGTCTGGGTCTGGGTCCGGGTGTGGGTTTGGGTCTGGGTCCAGGTCCGGGTCCGGGTCTGGGTCCGTGTCCGTGTCCGTGTCCAGGTCCGGGTCCGGGTCCAGGTCTGGGCCCAGGTAAGGGTCCGGGTCTGGGCCCAGGTCTGGGTCTGGGTCCGGGTCTTGGTCTGTGTCTGTGTCCAGGTCCAGGTCCAGGTCCTAGTTTGGGTCCAT